TTCCTAACATGGGCTTGCACAGCTTGCAAATCGCATCCGCAATCCCATCGGAAAGCTTAAACACTGGAATCGTTTCCAAGCAATTCTCCCGCCGCACTGCACACTTCTTCGAGAGATGCAAACGACGAAAGCCTTTCCTCGACACCGTAACGAAGTACGGCGCCTCATCTTGATCTTCCTGTGGCTCAAGGTCTTGATAAGGGCCGGGCAACGTAGCGCCCATGTCCCCTGCTGCTGCCCTGACCCGATCTGGCGTAACTTGAAACGCTGGGAACGCACCACCTAGCTTCCAAGTCTTCTCAAGATCATCCCACTGCATGACATTGCAGCAACGAACAATGTCCTCGCCGCTCAATCCTAGGGCCTCGGCAAATGCACGTAATGAGCAGAACAATTCTTCCTCAGTGTAGCCACCTCCCTGCTGCCCTAGCAAAAGGCAACGACACACAAAGTTCTGCACTCCCTGAACCACTTGCCGCGAGGTCAACACGTAGTCCTGAGATCCATGCTGTGCATACGCTCAACGACCTAAGTAATCTCGCTTGTCCTTCTCCACTCCGAGTGCTGCAGCAATGCTTGTCAAGACATGCCGCGCACTGTGCCCTGTCCAGAAGTTTGCAACATGCCCCGGAAAAAGCAACTCTCTGGCCACCTTCCAGACCCCCTGCTGCCTCACCGGTGTGGGCAGATGCTGTAGGAGCCTGCGCAGCTGCGTTGCCAAACCTTCGGCATCAAGATAGCCCTTGGAAGGAACGTCCCATTCAGCATTGAATGCGAGGCAAAGAAAATCCCGTGGCCAAGCAAGTGATTCCGCACTCATCAGCTTCATCCCTTCGCCTATCCAGTCGAAACCACTCAGACCTACAGTCCGTGCCACGAACCCATGCAGCTCGCCGACCTTCCGACCTGGCCCGCTTGTCTTTGTTTTCTGCAAGATAAAGCGCAAACCGACTTGGCTCAACTTCAAGCTTTCGGGATTGATGTTCTGAACATCATCACATCGCAATGTTGCCCAAATCATCAGAAGCAAGATGAAAGCGGTGAATCGCAA